AGACTGTACAAATATGGTCAATTCTTCAGCAATAGAGTGGTGAATCTGTGGAACTCTTTAACAGACGAGGTAGTAAATTCCCCAACTCTAAACACCTTTAAGACTCGTCTTAACAACCACTGGAAGCAACATCCAGCCAAGTTCAAAACATCTTTTTATTAGACACTGTGTGACATTCTGATATGAACAGTGATACTGATAGTAGTGTCAACAGTGTATTTTAACCATACTTTTAACTATATAGGAGAGGAACTTTACTGGGAGTTACGTAACTCCATATCAAACTTACTACGCGTTAATGAAATAACATTTGTAAATAGCAACCAGAAGTCAATAGTACGCGAAAGTACGTTATACTATTAAGTAGAGAAGAAGATACATCTATTCAAGCCCCGGCTTACCATTGATGTCATCTGAGCGAAACTGAGCGAAACTAGCGCTCACGATGATTCCCTATCCACGCAATGACATAATCTTTCTCTGACGTCATAATTCCGTTTAGATTTGTGATTCCGTTAGGACGATTAAACGTCAACTCCTGCGTATTCATTGTCTGACTCTCTATGACTCATGTTCCCTTCGCCCACACAATCGACTGTTAGAGCGAAACTTTTGGTTGTCAATGACCGGAAATATATATCCTTTCTCGAATGGCATACATATAGGTAAATCCATCTGGATAAGTATGATAAAAACGTCATCGTCCAACCCAACACGTCGAATCCGTGTCCCGGCAAAATCGACTGTCATATCTGATTGGACTACGAGTATGACTCACGCCTCCAAGTGACCGGCACCGAAACACCACGATAGCACGATGATCGGAACCAGGCGGACCAGTCAACACCTGGATTGAGGGTTTCCTAATTGTGACAGAACCCAGACTGTTGTAGTAGAGGGGGAAATGTCCGATTCTGCCCCAGTAAAATCAGGGGTCCCCCAGGGCTCTGTCCTCGGGCCGAGTCTTTTCTTATACTACATCAATGATATCACTGAGGGTATAACATCTTCTATCAGACTCTTTGCAGATGATACCATCATGTATCTGACAGTAACATCTCAGAGAGACGCTCACACCCAACACAAAGATCTTGATAAACTGGCCCTTTGGGAGACTAAATGGAGGATGGCTTTCCACCCTGAGAAATACCAGGTCCTCTCTGTCATAAGGAATAGACATCCCATCTGTCACCCTACATACTACATGTTCACGAGTTGGAGCATGTGACAGAGGCTAAATATCTTGGGGTCACCATTACTTCTGATCTAAAATGGAGTACTCATATCGATCACATCACAAAAAGGCCAATTCCACTCTGGGCTTCCTGGGGCGCAATCTCAAAATTGCATCCTCTAACATCAAACAAAAGGCCTATAAGTCCCTGGTCCGCCCTCAGGTTGAATACGCTAGCCCAGTATGGGACCCTTACATAAAAAAGATATAGACAAGCTAGAGATGGTACAGCGCAGGGCTGCTCGTTTCGTTGCCAACCGCTATCATAACACCTCCAGCGTTGGCAACATGTTAGAACACCTAAAATGACGTAGTCTTGCATATCGCATTAAAGACGCGAGGCTGACCATGCTCTATAAAATCCATCAAAATAAAGTTGCCATTACCACTAAATATCTCGCCCCTATAACCAGACAAACAAGGCATAGTCATCAAACCTCATTTCAAATTATCTCATGCAGGACGTCTGTAAGGAAGGAATCATTCTTTCCTCGGACTATCAAAGATTGGAACAAACTCCCTTCTCAAATTATTTCTTCTGATTCAATACTGTCCTTCAAATCATCTATCTCTGCTCATCAATATTAAGTTTTGTTCCTTTCATAGCCCTACACCTATATATGACATGATCTTCACTATGCTGAAGTAGGTCATCAAATGGTAGAAGTAGAACAAATTCTCGCGCACCAATGACCCGGTCGTTCATGATGATTCCCCATTCACGCAATGGCATAGCCATCCTCTGACGTCATCATTCCGTGCAGATTTGTAATTTCGTCGGAATGATTAACCGTCAACTCACGCATCAGACCATGGCCATGAAACATAGGACTACGTGGCTCTCCTACGACTCATATCCCCACGTGGTCTTCACAGAAACCCCTCTGAATCTAGACAGGGCCACTCCCACACAAGGACTTCGTGCCGCGATTGGACAATGCCCAGGACTTGGCGGAGCCACACGTGTCCGACGTCGTGTGCATATTAAGACCATGCCTTCTGACGTCATGATTCCCTTACAGAGATAACTAACGAATGAAAAAAAATATTCTTCGAATAAGACATATTTATTATCATTTAACTTAACTGATTTGTTTGTACATGCTGTGCAAAACATTTCATTAAAAATGAACAGATCAATATTATTGCATACGAACCCGAAGAGTCGCTCGAGCTATTTCTAAATGGTACTGACCAATTTCAACAATTTGAAGATTAAATTGATCATTGATAAGACACATATGCCAGCATTGCTGGTTGGGGGCGGATTATCAAACTGACATGGTCAATGACAGCGTGAAAGGCTACAACGCTACGCCAAGATAACGATCAGATTGCACACCACGGGATGCCTGTTGAGCAGGTTCAAATCACACATGTACGTATTGGGTTGATCGTATATACAGCCGGGACAGCGGATGAGTAATATCTCGACTTACAGTGTTCGAGTTGATTTAAAATCCTAACAGAGATAAATAATGAATACAAAAAACATTCTTCAATAAAGACATATTAATTATCATTTAACTTAATTGATTTTTTTGTGCCTGTTGTCCAAAATATTTCATAAAAAAACAGGTCCATTTTGTTGCATGCGAACCCGATGATCTCATGACCGGAACCACACGGACCCCACGGACCAATGATTCGTTCACGATGATTCCCCACCTATGCAATGGCACAGACTTTCTCTGACGTCATCATTCCGTTTGTAATTTCGTCAGGATTATCAAACCTCAACGTATTAACTGTGTGATAGTCTATGACTCATAGGACTACGTGGCTCTCCCATGACTCACGTCTCCGGAAGTAGGCGGGTCCAATTCATCTGTGACGTCACGATCCTACGATCCACGTTTTTTTGGCGCCGTATAAACAATCGCTATATACTGCTGACAATACCCCGATTGAAATATAGAGCTGGGGTGAGAAATCGTGTCGGGTGAGAAATCGTGTCGCCTATGAACATATAGATTGCACAATTTCTCACCGGGTGAGAAATCGTGCAGGGGTGAGAAATCGTGTCGCGAACGCAGCTATTTTGCACGATTTCTCACGGCTTACTGACGTGTGTTACGGCAAGATTTCCCCCCCGTCGTGCCGTAACACACGTCAGTAAGCTATAAAATGAAGGGAGCTGCAAGAGCTCATGATAGGACAGGTCTACCATTCCCGGTATTAAAGAATTTAGTTAAATGTCGTTATTGTTTTGGACCAGTGCATTTATTGTATATATTAATACACAAAGAATTTTGGTTTAGTCATAAATATTCTCACGTCACTGTACCCAAATCGGGACACTTTTTCGGTAACTATCAATGTTCTTTGACATTATACCAAATTTTTATTTCTAATACAAGTTGATATGTCGAGCGCGTGGTTCTATAAATAAAACGCAAAATACCATCAGGGTTACGTTTGCCCTTGAACCGGCGTAACTGTACCCTGAAAGGGACACTTCGGCATTTTGGCTAATATTTGGGGACAAACGATCAATGTCAGCAGAAAAGTAAACATATTTCAAATATTTAAGAGTCAAACGGCGTTCTGATTCTTCTTCAAACTAGCATTAGTTTTGATGAAATCGACTTTTTAAAATGATATCCAAATAAATAGCATCGCACGACACGTAAATCGGGAAAGTTTTGTTTTGGTAATTATTCTGACCTTTAAATTGTCCATGTAAAGATAATCAGCAACCAATAAAGCTTAACATCCAGTTAAATTATCATAAAAGTATTATTAAATGAAAACTGTACACATAAAAGTACTTCTTTGCATTGAATGCTGACAGTTTCATGGGCCGTTTTCCCCATAGGCCTAAGTGTCCCGTTTTGGGTACTGTCCCGCGCGATTTGGTTACAGTGACGGTATGCACGTTAAAACAAAATTCAATATATAGAGAATAATACATGTCTTTTTCCATATCACACCCAGTATCAACCCGAGACTGCAATATCAGCCCAATTTTTATATTTTTATATATTTATAAGTAAGTATGTAATAAAACTATTTATTACATTTTTGCAAGTGAAATATCGGATTCTATCCACTTAATAAAACTGATGTCTTTCACACTGTGACAAATATCAAAAGTGATATTTTCACACTGTGAAAATATCACTTTTTGTTATTGACCAATCATAACGGTATCTTCAGATTCAAATGAAGCGACGGTAGAAAAAGTGGTTGTTATTGTAAATGTGTGGTACACACACTTACGTATTTACATGAATATACAATTAATAACATTTCCATAAGCAAACACACCAGATAATAGCAGAAAACGTCGGAAATGCGTTGAGTATCCCATTCAAAATGACACACAGCCTTGTTGTCAAGCGTGACGTCATTAGAATATGGCGCTAATTATTACGCTTCTGATTCCCGCCCTTTTTTAATGCACTATGTTTTTCATGTCTCTTGCTTTAAAAATGTAATAAATAGAAAATTTAATGGTGTGGCTAATATTTTGATGTTTCACTCGTGCTGCGCACTTGTGAAAAATATCAAAATACTAGCCACACTCGTGAAATATATTTGTTATTACTGAAGACACCATTAAATAACCTCTACATATTTTAATGTCCAACAAAAGTAAATTGCTCGGAGGAAAATGACATTACTACTGGATAAGAATGTATCTAAGTCTGTTATTGTACAAGTTTAAAAACTGTTGTGGTGGTTAATTCCGTTTTATTTCGGTCGGTTCTGGTCACATTTCAGGCCTTTAGTATGTCCGCCAGATTCCACACACAACAACAAGATTACTTCCGGTTCGTTGTAGCACTACAGGAACGACGGTGATTTTACGCACTTTATAAATCTAAGTAGCTAACACGAGTAATGCTATCAAGTGATGCGTTTAGAAAAACATTTTTTGATCAAACTATCTTTTAAATCTCTGATGTATTAATGCCATCATATCTACTTTTTGACGAATTCGAAACGAGCGACAACTGTCAAATAATTCACTGACAGGCCTACTAAGGCCACTGCCGGGTAAGGGGTTACGATTTGTATCTTAGACTGATAGACACACCTACAGCACATTCGAAACATCGTCTGATCCATACACAGAATGTGTACTTTTTTGTCAAATTAATTTGCTTAAAACCCTGTTTACACTTTAGGTTACTGTCTATCGGTACCTGTCGAAATATCTCAAGCCCGGTGACGCGGTGTTTGACTTTGGGGTCATGTACTCGGTGTAAAAGAAGGAAACATGTTGATATATATCTATTTGTTATATATATTGTACTGTAACGGAACTGGACTGGGTCGATCGCCGGTAACCAGGTAGCTCAATTAATTAGAGATTCCATCTATTTGCATACAGGTTATAATCCTGTATTAAACATAATTACTGAAATGGGTAATATATTTAATTGAAAGAAAAAACGCAGAAAGTTCTTTTAAACATTAGGAACAAATACTTTTAAACATTAGGATAAAAAAGGGCACCATGGTAACAAGAGAGGAAAAATACAAGGCCAGATCTAGACCGGGATTTGAACCTAAGACCTTAAAAATGAAGACATGTTGGACACAACCTAGCTCTCATATGGGTAATAATATAACTCCTGCATATCAATAACATTTACTGTTTACAATTGTACAGTAACTATTTTATTACTGAAATGATACAACGAAGTCCATCCTCGATACCCATAGGTTATGTTCACTTTCGCTCTCTACACCCCTGGAATATATATCATAGCAAAATTGAAGCCATGAAGATAGCTGTTTGATTGGTCTCTGGTAAAAAAAACCTGACCAATCATTATGCTGATACCTGCCCTTTGAAGATTATAATGGAAAGACGCCCGACTTCAAAGCCTATCAACTTTTACCGTTTCGTGACCGTGAGATTCTTTTGATGTATATCAAAGGATCTAACTAGTCTCCTTGTCTCATCAACAAAATGGCGCACACCGAGCCTTCAATTTTGCTACGACATATTCCAAGGGTGCAGAGAGCAAAAGTGAGCGTAACCCCTGGATTTCGAGGATGAACGAAGTCCAACAACAGGACAAGGGGACACTCACAAAAACTTTTTCAAAAACAGTGTCGCCTAGACAGTAGAAAAATATTCTTCAGCTTTCGTGTAATGGAATAGTTAACCATGACATGTCATTGATGCAGCTGATGTTTAACAATTTAATATTTCGTTGGACGATCATTGGAAACGAGAAAATAATACAGCAATTTATAATGCAATGAATTGTGACATTTTAAAAAAAGTGAACATTACACACCATAAGTTTAAAACATAATATATAACTTGAATGATGTTTTGATAAGGATATAGAGGCTATATTATAAGCCTGCGTCCATTATGTATCTTTTTAAATCGTATTAAAAGTTGTTTGTTCATGTAAAATTGATTAAGTCTGTGTATGTCTAACTTTTTGTTAAAATGACAAACCTTTTCGCTGACTTTGTTCTCCATTGACTACAGTGTGTGGTCATTGAGAGCTTCAAGTGCAAATGTGACTGGTGAGCATGATTTTTGGTATATGTTCTATTTAAAGCTACCCTGCACCACGCTGGAAGCATTTCAGTAATCAACTTTACTATTGTACACCGTATGCAGGAGTAATTATTACCCATATGAGAGGTTGTGTTCAACATGGCTGTAGTTCGAAGGTCTTAGGTTGAAATCCCAGTCTAGATCTGGCCTGGTATTTTTCCTCTCCTGTTACCATGATGGTGCCTTTGACTAACTCTTGTTTCAAGTGCTTATAGGTGCATGTGTATGCTTAGGACGGGGATAGCCAAACCTGGGTTGTAAATTGTGTAGTGTAGTCTTCTGGGGTTTGAATCCTGGGTCCATATTCATAAAACCGTTTTCATGCTCAAACATGGATTTTGTGCTCAAACCTTATTTCTTGTTCCAGTTATAACTTAATAGTAAAATCTTATTTTGTCAATCATTTGGAAAAACTTTGAAGAGACTAAAAGCTGAATACTGTTTTCAATGTTTTCATTTTACTTTTTTACCTTTTTTTGTAACAATGTCTTAAACTGTATAGTAACTATTGTCACTGGTGCTCGAAATAAAATATTAAAAAACATAAGTAAAAAAGAACACGGAAAAAACTGCAGGAGTCAAACTCATGACATTTGTATTGTAAAGTCTATACACTTAACCGATGTTGCTACCTGTATACTAGCCCAAGTTTCCCCTGGCCCGTACACCAGACTTAGACATTTTGACAGATGGACCAACAGACAACTATCTGTCAAAATGTCTTAAGTGTGGTGTCAGGCCAGAGGAAACTTGGGCTATTACCCCATACAAGACATCTATCTTTCAAAATGTCTAAGTCTGGTGTCAGGGCCAAAGGAAACCGGGCTATTGCCCCCACACAAGACATCTATCTGTCAAAATGTCTTAGTCTGGTGTCTGGGACATAGGAAACTTGGGCTACATGTATACGAGGCATCAAAATAAGTGTAAAATTTATGGGCTGCAAAAAGCCTATGAATAAGTTTAAAGGGGAAGTAATTTTAATTCAGAAAAATTCCTTCTGGTTGCTTCATCTTTTATATAGAAGGGAGAATACTCCAGGTCAAAATAACACTGAGCAGAACTCTTCACGTTTATAAGTGATGCTATGGTACCACTTACCTTAGTATAGTCCTAGTAGGAAACATTATATGAATGAAAGACTTAATTTAATTTTCAATTTTTCTTCTCAAATTTTATTCAGGATTGTGTTCTGCCTGAGCAAGCATGACTAATGCTTGGCCAGATAACAAACCGGACACATTGGAGAATATATGTCTCGGTGTTTGTGCCCAGAACCAGGAAACGTTCTGTGTCGAGGATCCAGATGGGAAATTGTCAATCAGGCCAGGAGTGGATATCCTACCTGGTGTTGTGGACAGGCTCGTATCGGCTCTGAAGAAAGATGACGTACTAGACTTGAAATGGATTAACTTATTCCGGGACACATCCTTGACCAGGTTGACCCGAATTGACCTGTCAAGATGTAGTGTCAGTGACACAGAAATGAACATCGTCACCGATCATCCCCTACACGAGTTGATCCTCACAAACACTGTATTGTCAAAAAACACGGTAGAATGTATAAATAAACTTTCTCGGACGTTGAGAATTTTGAAATATGAGAATAACCCACATGAATCAGCGACTGAACAATCGTTCACAGGGGTCATAGCCGATATGCTGGAGACTGGACAAATCAACAATTTTGGAGAAAAACAATTTGGAATAGATTTTTTTGTTAATACACCCAACCTACGAATCCTGTCCTTGCGTGACTGTTATTTTAGAGAATTTCACCAAAGCTGTAGTCTAGAAGTGCTCCTGACTCCTCTCACCAAACTGACACACTTAGATCTGTCCAGATGTGTCCTGGATGTTCAGCACCTGAAATGTCTTGAAAATCTTCGTAACCTCATGTGGCTTAATTTAAGTCACCTAATGTTTATGCCTGATGAGTTGGAGCAAGTTATAGAGCACGTTTGTAAATGTAAACAGCTGAGGTAGGTCCTTTTGATGATGCTAGGTTTAGAGTTATTAGATTTGTCAAGACTACATCTAAACTGAATGTCAATTTCAAACAAGTGGCTAAAAATAGAACTAATTAAGACGGCTCATAAGTTTTAAAAAAAGTCACAGAGGCAGTTTTGTTTGTAATAACACAAACTTAGATTAGATTTCTATCTAAGTCCGTAGTAATATTTATATAAAGGTCAAGGTTATTGAAAAATCGAGAAGTCATTGACCTACTTTTCTAATGATGAGGCCCTTGGGGTTTTTCACATTTAAATGAGGAGAGGGCTTATATAGGCTTACTCCAACAATGTTAGAGGTTTTACACGGCGAAAAACTTTTGACAGGCGCAGTCGGCAAAATCATATCCGATTGAAAAAAGGCCGACCAGCGGCCTCTCATGTTATGGGAGTAATATAGGCTATGCCTGTTGCCCAATCTGATTGATTATTTAATCAGTAAAATATATTTGAAATGAAATCACATTTAAATAAAATCATGAAACTGTGGGCTGTCTTTTACTACATAGCGATTTGTTTTGTTTGTTCAGGCATTTAGATATTTCCTGTGATGTCATGGAACACCAAAATGTGATGCATTATGTGAATGGAGACAAATGCCTTAGAAAACTCATGAGTTGTCTCCCTTATCTGACATCTCTGGACCTATCTGGTACAGACATTCCCAAGATTCTGCAAGAGGATGTCTCTCACAAACTGGAGCCCACATCAACAAGGTAAACACTGTGGGATTGTATTAACAGATGTAGTCTACACAAGGTAAACACAGTGGGATTGCATTAACAGATGTAGTCTGCACAAGGTAAACACCGCGGGATTGTATTAACAGATGTAGTCTACACACGGTAAACACAGCGGGATTGTATTAACAGATGTAGTCTACACAAAGTAAACACAGCGGGATTGTATTAACAGATGTAGTCTTCACAAGGTAAACACAGCGGGATTGAGTTAACAGATGTAGTCTACACAAGGTAAACCCAGCGGGATTGTATTAACAGATGTAGTCTGCACAAGTTAAACACAGCGGGATTAAATTAACAGATGTAGTCTACACAAGGTAAACCCAGCGGGATTGTATTAACAGATGTAGTCTGAACAAGGCAAACATAGTGGAATTGCATTAACAGATGTAGTCTGCACAAGGTAAACACAGGGGGATTGTATTAACAGATGTAGTCTGACCAAGGTAAACACAGCAGGATTGTGTTAACAGATGTAGTCTGCACAAGGTAGACACAGCGGGATTGTATTAACAGATGTAGTCTGTACAAGGTAAACCCAGTGGGATTGTATTAACAGATGTAGTCTGTACAAGGTAAACCCAGTGGGATTGTATTAACAGATGTAGTCTACGCAAGGTACACACAGCAGGATTGTATTAACAGATGTAGTCTACACAAAGTAAACACAGCGGGATTGTATTAACAGATGTAGTCTGAACAAGGTAAACACAGCGGGATTGTATTAACAGATGTAGTCTGAACAAGGCAAACACAGTGGAATTGCATTAACAGATGTAGTCTGCACAAGGTAAACACGGGGGGATTGTATTAACAGATGTAGTCTGCACAAGGTTAACACAGTGGGATTGTATTAACAGATGTAGTCTACACAAGGTACAGACAGCAGGATTGTATTAACAGATGTAGTCTACACACGGTAAACACAGCGGGATTGTATTAACAGACGTAGTCTGCACAAGGTAAACACAGCGGGACTGTATTAACAGATGTAGTCTGTACAAGGTAAACACAGGGGGATTGTATTAACAGATGTAGTCTGACCAAGGTAAACACAGCAGGATTGTGTTAACAGATGTAGTCTGCACAAGGTAGACACAGCGGGATTGTATTAACAGATGTAGTCTTCACAAGGTAAACACAGTGGGATTGTATTAACAGCTGTAGTCTGCACAAGGTAAACACAGCGGGACTGTATTAACAGATGTAGTCTGTACAAGGTACACACAGCAGGATTGTATTAACAGATGTAGTCTACACACGGTAAACACAGCGGGATTGTATTAACAGACGTAGTCTGCACAAGGTAAACACAGCGGGACTGTATTAACAGATGTAGTCTGTACAAGGTAAACACAGGGGGATTGTATTAACAGATGTAGTCTACACACGGTAAACACAGCGGGATTGTATTAACAGATGTAGTCTACACACGGTAAACACAGCGGGATTGTATTAACAGACGTAGTCTGCACAAGGTAAACACAGCGGGACTGTATTAACAGATGTAGTCTGTACAAGGTAAACCCAGTGGGATTGTATTAACAGATGTAGTCTTCACAAGGTAAACACAGTGGGATTGTATTAACAGATGTAGTATACACAAGGTAAATACAGCGGGATTGTATTAACAGATGTAGTCTGCACAAGGTAACCACAGCGGGATTGTATTAACAGATGTAGTCTGCACAAGTTAAACACAGCGGGATTAAATTAACAGATGTAGTCTACACAAGGTAAATACAGGGGGATTGTATTAACAGATGTAGTCTGCACAAGTTAAACACAGCGGGATTAAATTAACAGATGTAGTCTACACAAGGTAAACAAAGCGGGATTGTATTAACAGATGTAGTCTGCACAAGGTTAACACAGTGGGATTGTATTAACAGATGTAGTATACACAAGGTAAATACAGCGGGATTGTATTAACAGATGTAGTCTGCACAAGGTTAACAGAGTGGGATTGTATTAACAGATGTAGTCTACGCAAGGTACACACAGCAGGATTGTATTAACAGATGTAGTCTACACAAGGTAAACACAGCGGGATTGTATTAACAGATGTAGTCTGAACAAGGCAAACATAGTGGAATTGCATTAACAGATGTAGTCTGCACAAGGTAAACACAGGGGGATTGTATTAACAGATGTAGTCTGCACAAGGTAAACACAGCAGGATTGTGTTAACAGATGTAGTCTGCACAAGGTAAACACAGCGGGATTGTATTTACAGATGTAGTCTGCACAAGGTAAACACAGGGGGATTGTATTAACAGATGTAGTCTGCACAAGGTAAACACAGCGGGATTGTATTTACAGATGTAGTCTACACAAGGTAAACACAGCGGGATTGAATTAACAGATGTAGTCTGCACGTACAAGGTAAACATGCACAGTGGGATTGTATTAACAGATGTAGTCTGCACAAGGTAAACACAGTGGGATTGTATTAACAGGTGTAGTCTACACAAGGTAAACACAGCGGGATTGTATTTACAGATGTAGTCTGCACAAGGTAAACACAGGGGGATTGTATTAACAGATGTAGTAAGCAGGTTTGTTAATGAATCGAGGGACATTATATTCAGGTTTCTCTGAAATTACAAATTAAGAAATATTTATTTTTATTTTAGGGTTTCTCTTTTTTTGTCTTGGACAACTCATGATCAGAATAATGTAAAATCTGTTGGATATTTCAATATGGTTTTGATATCATCAAAGAAATATTGATGTGAGAGACCATGATATATATGAAACAGTTTGTGAACTAATCTAGTTGACAAACTTTATGTTTGAATGCATCTTGTATTAATATTGGTGTCCTTTTTATTTGTAGGGTCCCTAATAATGAGAAGAAATGCTGTATCACAGGTCTTGATGGCCGTATTTTTGAGTTCCTGGGATTGCTTCATTGTCGGGATGATCCTTGCAATGAAGAAAACCTTCCAGCTAAACAGGTGAGATATATAGGATACAACAGAATAAGAAGTTTCAGCTTTCTCGGCACAGAGTGTCTGTGGGACTTCCCGTCCTTTTGTCACATCAGGTGTTCAGCAGCAGTGTGTCAACTTTTCTCAAGTGGACTCAAAAGAGCCTCACCATCCTGTTGAAATGTTGATACAGCAGTAGACCTATGTCACCCTAGGCTAAGAGAGGTCCACCTCAGTAGTATACACGCATCTATCCTAAAACATCCCAACCTTATACATATACACACTATCGAACCGACCATACACTACACTGCCTGATATATATCTCATTGTTCCCATCTGTTGCACTGCACACAAAGACAGAATTGGTCACACGGACACCACCACTTATTTATTGTCAATGGATGGTCATTCTGTCAACAGCCATCCCTGTGAAAATTTAGGCTGATTGTAATACACTGGCACCTGCTCATGGACACAGTTAGGTATGACGTGAAACTTTGTCCTGTCAGTTTTTTGCCCTATGCTGGTAAAATTCATATTGGCCCAGTTGTAACTTTGCCCTTTACATTTGAATGTGATATCTATTATGCTGTTTTCCAATGCTGGCTGTAATGAGAAATTCTCCCTCCTTGCAAAGGACAAAAAATGGTGAAAGTTTAACTGCTGCAAACATTTACTGGTATGAAGTAATTTCGCAGTAACAGATTATTTTATAATATTCCCGAAAAGATCTCTTTCCTTACAGGACAGAGGGGACATAACTCATAATGCATAATTACAAGGGGAGGTAATCAGATACTTTCTCCATTATCGGGTAATACAATAGTCTGTTTGTTATGACAGGTGAGCGGTCACGCCACAGAGGAACAGGTACTTATCTCTATACAGCGCTACTACGACCGGGACAATGCTCTCACATCCTCACTCAATTCTCTCTTCAAAATCTTCCGGTATTCAACAGTCAAGAATCACTGTGCAGCTCTGGAGGTAAGAACCCTAAGTTTATTTTAATCATTTTTAATCTTCAAGTTAATCATACATAAGGATAATGACATGTGACAAAATGTTATATTTGTCTTGCCGTGACGAAGTAGTGGAAGCGAGACTAAGATATTGTTTTTCCGGCGGTGGCTTCAAAATTTAGTTTTTGTGTTTCACTTAGTTTCACTGAAAGCATAAGTGATAGAACAACTAATCTTGGACCATATAGATGCATCTTAGGTAGTACATCTCAACCCAAGACTCAAATGCTGGGTGCGGCCTCAACCTTTCATGGTCAATTGACTTTGTAAGCATCTCCATCAACATCAAGTTTTTGCATTTAAGTAATTAGTTTCTCTTGATATGTGCATTGATGGTCAAAGCGGGGCACAGGCTGACATATCAATCAGAATGACTTGTTACTTGTGTGTAGGAGTTATCTCCCTTGATATACTAATTCTACTCCAAACCAACCTCAGGATGACGCAATTTGATGTCTTTTTCTCGCTGAATAAAAGTAATTTGATATTATTGTGTGGAAAGCTTGAAATTGTTCTATTTATGTTTTGTTCTGTTTTAGGCAATTTTGCTTGGAATGAGGGAAAACCAAAATGATAAACAAATCCAAATTTCTGGCAGGTATGTGGTTTTATTTGTCATCAGCCTATATATAGCTAGCTGACTCCCCAAAACACTTATATAACTGCCAAGTTCAATCAACATTATTTGATAATTTTGTATACCGTATTCACTGTAATTAGTGCCCAGGGCACTTAAAACATTTGCTTAAAGGGGGTGGTTTATTAGTGTTATAAAATGATATTGGATGATAGAAAAAGTTGTGCTATCACTGAAGGACATTATAAATATTCCAGTGTGGCTTGAGCTTTGAAAAGAATGTTTTTCATTCACTTCACGCTTTACAGGAAGTTCAGCCATGATCACCAGACATATCTTTGCTTTAAAGTGTGAATACTAAATGTACTATAATCAACTCATTCACCCCTGAAATTTTATAATGAACTATTCCAGCCTTTGAATTGGAGGAGTTCAAATGTGTCTTCAGGGGTAAATGAGTTAATCATTAATTGGGTCGGGTCAGGTCTGGGACAGGATCTATATAGTTCCAATTCCTCCCAAAATAGGTGGAGGGGCGTTTAAAGGGGGAGGAGCACTAATTACGGCAAATACGGTACCTAAACAAAAGGTCAGGAAGTCTACCTGTAAATTATCATTAAGAGTTATGAAAACAATCTACCAGGGAATTGAGCAATAAACTATCGTTGATCCTGATAAATTGAGATGAGAAATTTACAAACTTTGAGAATACGGTTTTTAAGTAGAAACAATACATCTAGATAGTTGCCAAGAAATTAGTTTTCTGATTGAGTATTTAAACCAAGGTAACAGAATTAGTTTTCAAAATTCATGTTGAATCATTTTGATTTACATTTGATTGATCAAGCTCTTACTATAATTTTAATCAATAAAATGTTCTTTCCTTTTTTCAGTGCCTCTTTGTTTTACATTGTGAAGGGGCCTCATAAAGACAACATCACTTACTTACAGAAAAGGTATGCTCTAACCCTAACCCTACTTACAGAAAAGGTATGTTGTTTGAAATCACTTTGGAAGTTCATCATTAAACGCTAATATCTCAAGTACATGTTATTACAGCTGTAATCTCTTAGGCAAAAAAAAAAAAAAAATGTTTCTGGTAACTCTACCTATTATTACCTACCCTACCCTAATTTTTTGTCCCTACTCTCTTCTTTTTAGGAAAATTTCATGGACACATTGCTAAGTCAAGATCATTCTAATATAAACAATATAAAACTATTGTTTGAAAAGATTTTTTTCCTGTAACTTCCTTCCCTGAATTTTCCATACATGTTACAGGAAACACACTTATATTTTTGGTTTGGCCTTAATTTAATCTACATACCTTTAATCTAATATAAATGAAAAACAAATAATGACACCATTGTTCTCTATGAATTTGGTAATATTATTTTTGCATATCTGTGTATGATTAAGCTTCCTAAACACTACTTCCAGACGCCTGATATCCTGCCTGCTAGACGCTATGGAGAGACAGCACGACGAGATGACTGTGAGTTTTGAGTTTGTACTATACTATTATACTCCTGTATGAATGATGTCCGAGATGACTGTGAGTTTTGAGTTTGTACTATACTATTAGACTCCTGTATGAATGATGTCCGAGATGACTGTGAGTTTTGAGTTTGTACTATACTATTAGACTCCTGTATGAATGATGTCCGAGATGACTGTGAGTTTTGAGTTTGTACTATACTATTAGACTCCTGTATGAATGATGTCCGAGATGACTGTGAGTTTTGAGTTTGTACTATACTATTAGACTCCTGTATGAATGATGTCCGAGATGACTGTGAGTTTTGAGTTTGTACTATACTATTAGACTCCTGTATGAATGATGTCCGAGATGACTGTGAGTTTTGAGTTTGTACTATACTATTAGACTCCTGTATGAATGATGTCCGAGATGACTGTGAGTTTTGAGTTTGTACTATACTATTAGACTCCTGTATGAATGATGTCCGAGATGACTGTGAGTTTTGAGTTTGTACTATACTATTAGACTCCTGTATGAATGATGTCCGAGATGACTGTGAGTTTTGAGTTTGTACTATACTATTAGACTCCTGTATGAATGATGTCCGAGATGACTGTGAGTTTTGAGTTTGTACTATACTATTAGACTCCTGTATGAATGATGTCCGAGATGACTGTGAGTTTTGAGTTTGTACTATACTATTAGACTCCTGTATGAATGATGTCCGAGATGACTGTGAGTTTTGAGTTTGTACTATACTATTAGACTCCTGTATGAATGATGTCCGAGATGACTGTGAGTTTTGAGTTTGTACTATGCTATTAGACTCCTGTATGAATGATGTCCGAGATGACTGTGAGTTTTGAGTTTGTACTATGCTATTAGACTCCTGTATGAATGATGTCTCAGAACACGGGAAATTGTTTATTTGTAGTTAGAATGCAATCTTTTAAAGTTGTTAATTATGTAGCCAGGTGTAAATACATATTTCAAATCATTTCACGTAATATTAATACCAGTGTGACGGAATGTATATGTATGTATGTATGTATGTATTGAAGTTAAAAAGAATATAACCTCAATGTTAAGGAATTTCTTTGATTTCCAAACTTCTAACTTAATTTTTGTTCCTGGTAAGTTAGTTAATTGTCATCACAAAATAGCCTTTTCTGTTGTGAAATCACTTTTGCAAAAGGAGGCGGAAAAAAAAATTAAACAAAAAATGCAAGTCAGATTCTGTAGGACGTCATCTGAAAATGTTTTCACTCCAAACAAATTCTGGTTATGTTGAGGCATCGAGCCTATGATTCATTCTCATCTTACAGACATATTCTTAAGGCAGGAATAGTAATGTTGATTCTTTTGTTCAAGTCTTCCTTTGGTACAGAAATCCTGGCATGAATATGTTATCGAATCGCCATGAAGAAATAATGCCAAGTACTATTTTTGTGACATTCAATACTATGCTTTGCTTCAGATGTTAAGAAATGGCTGCTTAACCATATGCAACTTGTCCATTCCTCAAGATGTGGTAAGCTTCATTTATCTTCAAAAATGGGTTTCAATTGTTTTGGGGTTTTTTCAAATTGTATCTTCATGTTTTTCATGTTGTTCTGCAATAAGAAATACTGTAAAAGTTGAAACATTCACACATGGAAATGTTCTCCTTGTGGCCCTTTAAACTGATTGTGGTGTGGAAATGTTCTCCTTGTGGCCCTTTAAACTGATCGTGGTGTGGAAATGTTCTCCTTGTGGCCCTTTAAACTGATCGTGGTGTGGAAATTTTTGACACGGGTGGGCTTATTACCAGTTGTGGGCTTATTGCTGCGTAAAATAGGTATTTTCAAATTAAGGGATCGTAGGGTTTGAACAATGCTTTGACTTGTACAGTCAGTACATACCGGAGAGTACAAACATCACTGTAAGCTAATATTTAGTTAATCAAATGAACTACATCCATTCTGTGACAGATGATATATGTTACTTACTGTAACTATGGCAGCTATAACTATTAATGGCCCCGCCTATGTCCAGAAGTCTCACTCCCGGAACCCACCTTTTGAATTTTCTTTAGTGGTAGTATGCATGGAATGTTCAGAATGTCATATCATTTTTTTCTACAAACGTGTGGTACACTCTTTTTTGGTTTTGTTTCTAGCTTTTCTGCTACAAACGTCTAGTGAAGGTTCTGATCGATCTCCTGAAGATCTCCGACCAGGAGGAGTTCATTCAGAGGATCAGTATATACCTCCTTAACTGTCTGGCCTGCCAGGTAGACGGGGACGAGAAGCGCACTGTCGGTACACTGGGTGCAGTAGAGGTAGGATATCATTCCACATTTGTATGGTAACCATACAACCAATTATAAATTAACATTATTCATACAAATTTGGTCTTTGACATTATGAACTCTGATTGAACCATGTTAAGATAGAATATAAATATATCTTTAATAATATAAAAGACACATATTCAATGACCAGTGAAGCATATGCACACGAAGGTGTAGAATTTATACAAGTGTCCACAAGTGTGTGCATAGGCTTCACTGGTCATTTGTCTGATGAAGTTGACAGATCTAGAGTACATACCGTACTAGTCATTGAAACGTCACATAGAAACTCGTATTGGTTGTGTAAAAAGAACATGTCATAAAACTTCTTAAAAACTGATTGGTTAACATTTTATAGCCAATATGGGTTTCTAACAAGTAAGATTTGTAGTTCTACATATTCTGTCAATGTTCAGGACACATGAAGATAAGTTGTATTCATGCTGGTATGTTTGTGATGAACAGGTGATGTTGGACTTGATCCGAAACAAGTGGCTTAATCATGTGTGTGACGAAGTATTGGAGGTGGCGTGGAGTACCCTCTGGAATGTCACAGGTAAGTCACACTAGTATAGTCACACCTGTGACGAAGTGTTTGAGGTGGTGTGGAGTACCCTCTGGTATGTCACAGGTAAGTCACACTAGTATATTCACACCTGTGACGAAGTGTTTGAGGTGGCGTGGAGTACCCTCTGGGATGTCACAGGTAAGTCACACTAGTATAGTCAGACCTGTGACAATGTGTAGGAGGTGGCTTGGAGTACCCTCTGGAATGTCACTGGTTAGTCACACTAGTATAGTCACAACTGTGACAAAGTGTTTTAGGTGGTGTAGATCGAGTACCCTCTGGAATGTCACAGGTAAGTCACACTATTATAGTCACACATGTGACAAAGTGTTTTAGGTGGTGTGGAGTACCCTCTTGAATGTCACAGAAGTATAGTCACACCTGTGACAAAGTGTTGGAGGTGGTGTGGAGTACCCTCTGGAATGTCACAGGTAAGTCACACTAGTATAGTCACACCTGTGACAAAGTGTTTTAGGTGGTGTGGAGTACCCTCTGGAATGTCACAGGTAAGTCACACTAGTATAGTATAATCACTTCTGTGACGAAGTGTTGGAGATGGCATGGAGTACCCTCTGGTATGTCACAGGTAAGTCACACTAGTATAGTCACACCTGTGACAAAGTGTTGGAGGTGGTGTGGAGTACCCTCTGGAATGTCATAGGTAAGTCACAGTAGTATAGTCACACCTGTGCCAAAGTGTTGGAGGTGGCATGGAGTACCCTCTGGGATGTCACAGGTAAGTCACACTAGTATAGTATAATCACTTCTGTGATGAAGCGTTGGAGATGGCATGGAGTACCCTCTGGTATGTCACAGGTATATCACACTTGTATAGTCACGCCTTTGATGAAGTGCTGGAGGTGGTGTGGAGTACCCTCTGGTATGTCACAGGTATATCACTCTTGTATAGTCACACCTGTGACGAAGTGTTGGAGGTGGTGTGGAGTACCCTCTGGTATGTCACAGGGATATCACACTTGTATAGTCACGCCTTTGATGAAGTGCTGGAGGTGGTGTGGAGTTCCCTCTGGTATGTCACAGGTATATCACACTTGTAAAGTCACACCTGTGACAAAGTGTTGGAGGTGGCGTGGAGTACCCTCTGGGATGTCACTGGTAAGTCACACTAGTATAGTATAATCACTTCTGTGATGAAGTGTTGGAGGTGGCATGGAGTACCCTCTGGTATGTCACAGGTATATCACACTAGTATAGTCACACCTGTGACGAAGTGTTGGGGGTGGCGTTGAGTACCCTCTGGGATGTCACAGGGAAGTCACACTAGTATAGTCACACCTGTGCCAAAGTGTTGGAGGTGGCATGGAGTACCCTCTGGTATGTCACAGGTATATCACACTTGTATAGTCACACCTGTGACAAAGTGTTGGAAGTGGCGTGGAGTACCCTCTGGGATGTCACAGGTAAGTCACACTAGTATAGTCACACCTTTGACGAAGGGTTGGAGATGGCATGGAGTACCCTCTGGTATGTCACAGGCATATCACACTTGTATAGTCACACCTTTGACGAAGTGTTGGAGATGGCATGGAGTACCCTCTGGGATGTCACTGGTAAGTCACACTAGTATAGTATAGTCACACCTGTGACAAAGTGTTTTAGGTGGTGTAGAGTACCCTCTGGAATGTCACAGGTAAGTCACACTAGTATAGTCACACCTTTGACGAAGTGTTGGAGATGGCATGGAGTACCCTCTGGTATGTCACTGGTAAGTTACACTAGTATAGTCACACCTGTGACAAAGTGTTGGAGGTGGCGTGGAGTACCCTCTGGGATGTCACAGGTAAGTCACACTAGTATGGTCACACCTGTGACGAAGTGTTGGAGGTGGCTTTGAGTACCCTCTGGGATGTCACAGGTAAGTCACACTAGTATGGTCACACCTGTGACGAAGTGTTGGAGGTGGCTTTGAGTACCCTCTGGGATGTCACAGGTAAGTCACACTAGTATGGTCACACCTGTGACGAAGTGTTGGAGGTGGCTTTGAGTACCCTCTGGGATGTCACAGGTAAGTCACACTAGTATAGTCACTCCTTTGATGAAGTGTTGGAGATGGCATGGAGTACTCTCTGGTATGTCACAGGTATATGAAATTATTACTGTACCTGTCTTCAGATGCCAAATTGTACAGAAAATAACAAACACATGAGTTTTATTTCATGAATTCTGTTTTTGTTAAAAGACATGCTAAAAATTTGTGAAAAATGTGTAATTAAGCAAGTATTTAGTTGCCTATTTCTATAAGCTTAGAGTTCAGCAAGCATGCGTATAATGATCTATCAACTATGAGATGTATGAAATATTTAGAGTGCTAGAGGAAATTTTATTTTTCCTTTATCATTGGTTACTTAGTGTTAACATTGTCTCTTGATTGTTTTAGATGAAACAGCTGACAACTGTGAGAAATTTATGAACAGTGGTGGCATGGACTTGTTCAAGGATTGTTTACAGGTGAGAATATAGAGTCAGAACGTTCAAGGTTTGTTTACAGGTGAGAATATAGAGTCAGAACGTTCAAGGATTGTTTACAGGTGAGAATATAGAGTCAGAGCGTTCAAGGATTGTTTACAGGTGAGAATATAGAGTCAGAGCCCGGTGTTCATGTCAGTATGATGTACGAGTAACCGCAAACTTTCTGGTTTTCACAAGGAATTCAATATAATTGCTGATTTTGTGACTGTAAAAGTTGTGAATTCAAGTCAGTAACTTACAAATTTTAGATACAATTGTCATGTTATATTTGAAACTGATAAATTAATTAACCGTTTTATAAAAAACTAAAAAAAACTCAAGTTACATTTCATTTATTGCTTCCAACCTATGTTTTTATTTTGCAATGATTCAGGATATCAAAACTTTGCAAATAGGTAAACAAGTTTGGAATATGTTTTTTATTTCAGAGATAAAACTTTTTTTTTCTGAATATGTTCAGATTTCTCTTGATATCACATTTTACTTAGACATCTGACAATCAAAATGCTATTAAGAGGAATGAAATGTTCAGCTTTTAATGTAATGTGTCAGATTTTAATTTTTATGTTCAAGGTTTTAATTAAAATGTAAAAGATTATACTTAAATAATTGTAATGTTCAAGGTTTTAATTGTTATATTCAAGGCTTTAATTGTTATGTTAAAGATTATAATATTTTTAATGTTCAAGGTTTAGTCAAAATATAAGCATTGTCATTTATTATATATTCAATTTTAAATGTTTTGAACAAAGCCTTACTTGTAATTTAAATTTATTGAAATGTACAGTTTTAATCATATATAGGGTATGTATTGATTTACAAGGTGTTAATTATATTGTACAATGTTATGATTTAATGTATAAGGTTTTAATTATATTATACAATGTTATGATTTAGTGTATCAGGTTAAATATCTGTCAATATTGATTTACAAGGTGTTAATTATATTGTACGATGTTATGATTTAATGTATAAGGTTTTAATTATAGTGTACGATGTTATGGTTTAATGTACAGGGTTAAATATCTGTCAATATTATATCACACTGATTAATTACTTTTCCTTTTGCAGAGATTCGTGGAAAAACCGGAACTACTCAGGAATATGATGGGTCTGATGGTAAATATATAACTAATTACTGTTACACAAAGTACTCGCAATCAGTGAGTCGGCCCTGTCCGGTAGTCACGTCTAAAATTTCTGTTCTAAACTCGTGACTTGCTTCTTATATAAAATGGAAGAATTTTTTCAAGATAGCATAATTGAATTAACTGAAACTATGAGTTTTTGACATAGTTACAGCTGCAATCAGAAAATGACAGAGCAGTGTTAATTAGCCATGTGTGTATCATAATTCAGAAGTAGGAAGGGCTTACACAAATTCTGGACGTGGAAACTAATTTTGAAGCAGACTCCAGTGACGGATAACTCAAAAGGCGACTATTCATTCACTTAAACATAAACCTGTCAGTCTATTGTAAGAATCCTTTAAAGATTAAAAACTCTATAACTATTACAGGGCAATATTGCAGAAGTGAAATTCTTACGCCCAAAGTTGATGGACCCAGAGTACATAACAATGTTCAGGTAAGTTTGTTTTTTTCTGTGTTCTCATTACCAAGTAAATTGATGTTGGGTTGATCTGTTCTCATGGGTAGGAAACTGAGACCGTTTTTTTCAGTTCGATAGCTACCGTCAGAACAGGACATTGGTCATATAAAACAGAGAAATTAAGAGAAACTTGTAGATTAATGAATTATTCCAGATTTATCACACAAAAAGTATGTCTTACAGTGAGTACTATTATTTTGTATATTAAGGAGTCAACGCAAGTGTCGTGGCCCAACAGTGCTAAAGTTATATAAAAAAATGAAATTAAGGGGAGCTTAACTCATTCACCCCTGAAGACAAATTTGAACTCCTCCAATTCAAAGGTTGGAATAGTTCATTTCAAAATTTCAGGGGTGAATGAATTGAGTCATGTAATAATACCTGCTGTGACTATGGAATTAAACATGAGCCATCACGTTTTGACAAAGAGTCTTCTCATAAAAATCAAGTGGAGTTATAATGGCTCATTGATTCGACAAAGCCTTGCTTAAATGAAAACTTCAAGACTCATTTCAAAAATCTGATATAAAAACTGGAAACTCTGTTAATCAATAATTTAGATTTTGTATTCTATAGTATTGAAAATCTAAATAAAGTAACAGAGCTGAATTTAACTTTTATATGGAAACCAAAAAATATATTCAAAACCTTGGGAATTATTACAATGAAGTTTGACTTTACTGTTCAAGTTTAGCCACTGTTCATTTTCAAAAGAGAACCATTCATTGTAAATCTTTAATTTTAAGCTGCTTCGTGCTATTATAGTAGGTAATATTTTAATTTTAAGCTGCTTCGTGCTATTATAGTAGGTGATATTTTAATTTTAAGCTGCTTCGTGCTATTATAGTAGGTAATTTTTTAATTTTTATTAAGTGATCTCCTGGATTCCAAGAGTGACGGTATAGAGGTGAGTTACAATGCAGCAGGGATATTTTCACACCTGATGTCAGACGGCCCAGGTGCTTGGACGATCAACTATCCCTCTCGGGACGATGTCATCCACCGACTGACCACTGCAATAGAGAGATGGCCAATCAACTCGGGCCGCAACATCAACTACAGGTAAACACTGTGGTCAAGGATTGACCGTTGTTTTTAAAAAAACAATGATCTATAGCTCTATGGCCTTGAGTCACTGACAAGCTTCACTTCATCTGTATAAAAACTTTGGCCTCTTGCCTCTGACAATTACACTACAGGTAAACACTGTGGTGAAGGATTGACCGCCTATATTTTAAGTAAAAAATGCTATGGCCTTGATCATGAGTCACTGACAAGCTTCACTTCACTGATCTGATAAATCTGTATACTTGGGCCTCTTGCCTCATAAAAATAATGCTTCAATTTGCTGTTTCAGGTCCTTTATGCCCATCTTTAAGTTGGTGAAAGCATTCGACACCTCCGCAGCTCAGCACTGGTCTGTTTGGGCTCTGGCCAATCTTACCCTGGTCTACCGTAAGTATAGCAGTCAAAATCAATGTCAAAATAGGGCTTGAAATGTACTGTAATAAAGGACTATCAAGCAAGGACATAGGGATCAGATGTGTTGAAATATTTCAATGACTTATTCTGAAGATCTACAGTAAAGATAAAGTCACTACAAAATAAATGTAGCTTGATGGGATGATTTTAGAGTTATAAAGTATTTTTGATAATAAATAGTATCGCACCTCGGACAGGATTGTCCCATCTTATTGGTTAAAATTGGGTCACATGGTGACCCCCTATAACACTATAGGGGGTCAGTAAAATTTCTTAGGGGGCAATATGTCGCTTCGAAATTAAAACAAATCAGGCCTCAATTACGTCTTCCCAAATATCCCCAAACGAACACCTTCCTGTGTATTTCGTACACAATCGTCCTGAAAAGGTTAAAAACGCTTAAGAACATTTATAAGAGTTGCCTCCCCTACGCCGGTTGAAAATAGTTGACCTCCCGCTTGACATGACGTCAGGTACTATTTGAAAGCGTCTCAGTGACTCAGCTTGTTAACAAATATGGCTCGATTTGGGCAGACATATCGAGTATGAGTATTGAGTATGCATACCAAATATATGAAGCCTTTATCTTTAACAGTTCAAAAGTTAAAGACAGTTTTTAGATTAATTGCAGACATTTGAGCAGGACAAAATATGACCCAGGTGTACATATCAAAAGGGGGTATAAAAAGGTCCTTGGTGCAATACATTCGTTATATGGTTTGTTACTGACCTACTATGGAACCGTAGAGGGTCAGTACAATTCGTAGGGGGCGAGGCCGACAAAACAAACCATATACCCAATAATATTTACCCACTTCTAGGTCATAGGTGTGAAACTTATTGAACTAACAACTTATTCTAAAGGCCCATAAGGCCTAGACTAGTGATATTTGGCATGTAGCTTGATAGAATAACAGGCTACAAAATTTGCTCAAAGAGATGACATGGAACCATATGAGGAAAATGTATCTTCCAACAATGTGTAATGTGTTACTAGTTTAAGATTGCTTGCTATGAAGTCTGTTGGAAGAAATTTCATTGATCAACTTTGAAGGTCAAAGTGAGATGTGGTTTCAAACAAAATTCAGTTAAAGGTGAATGATACAGACCCAATGGGCCTCTTGTTCAATGTTCAAATGGGTCAACACATTAGTTAACAGATCTGAGAATTCATTGAGATGAAGGTGTTTCTCCTCAGTTTATGAGTTGTGCAGTCTGTTATAAGTTATCGAATCAAACATGAATGACTGAGATAAGATTATGTAAGTTATGTCAAACTAAATCTGTGCCATTAATGATTTGTTGTTGGCTTGTAGCTGGGAAGTATTGCAGCCTACTTAAGAAGGAAGGGGGAGTCGACTTGTTGGAGGAAGTGATTGAAGACCCCCGACCAAACAATGCAATCCGAGCTTTGGCCAAACAGGTTCTGGTGCAAGTTCAGAGTGGGGCAGAAGCTGTGGAGACATACAACAATCCCGATCAGGAGGAAGAGGCAGACGACGATAGTCAGGAGGACAGCGATGTCGAGATGGACGGATAAACGGGGGATGGATTCCCGTCATCATCATCTTCATTACCACATTTGTTGTCATAATCGTCGTCGTTGTCATCACCGTCACAAACTGTGTTGCCTTATCCATTATGCCAAGCTTGTTGAACCACCGCCAATGAGTTGGGAGGAGATAGCTACTTAAACTATCTTCATTTTTCATCCCTCCGTCCGCCTGTCTGTGGGTCCTTCCATCTGTAAACATTGTCTTGTCCTTATAACTAGCTTACAGTTCTAGTGTAAATTGTTGTCTTCCCTCCAGCAATTAAGGACAATTAAACTTTTTTTTCCATCCAATTTATTTTGCATATTTCTTGTTCTTTTCTTAGAATTCTATCTGAACTTGTTCACAATGGTTACCTTGCTTTCAATTGCCCTCCCAAACTTTTTCTACTGGAGATTAGTACAAGAATTAACAGGTTTATTACAGATTGTACCTAGGTCTACTGTCTGGTGTTTTAGTGGTTAAGGTGTCTGATGGCCAATAATCACTAGCCCTCCACCACTGGGTTGTTGGTTTGAGGTCTTCCTGGGGCAAGCAATAAAATATTCCCTCCTATCAGAGAAAAAGGTCACACTGTGGAAAAGACAAAACCTGGTGTCTTTAAAATTGTTTATAACTCACAAACTCAAGTTACAAAAATGCGATTAACCGCCATCTATTGTTAAAGAACCTATATATATATATATTTTTTGCTTAACTCAGAAGAGTCTGAGAGTTTATTTATTCACAAATATGGTCAGTGAATTGTGTGTAATTCTTAGTGTGTCCAGTCCCCTGTTTACACGTCTATAACACAGACTTATGAAGCCTAAACTATACTCCTGTGTTTTATGATAACGTACCTATTCTATTTTAGGTACCAATGTACCTACGTCTCATTGTAAAACGTTTGTAAATACCTGTATAGAAAAATACTTTCCTACAAACATGAATGCATACACAGTTGTATTTTTGCTTTTCCAATAATGTCACAATTGAATGTTGGTTTTGTGTGACTTCAATGACACTTTTATGTCTAAAGTTATGTTTGATTTTAATTGTGTATAATTCTGATTTAATAATTCATTTTGTTTAAAATGTAACGGCCTGAAAACAATGAAAGTAAGTAATTGTAACTGGGATCATTTTCCCACCTATTAACATATCTTAAAAGCCTTTTAGTAGTGTAATTTTAACATGTAACAGTCATTTGTAAAGACGTAATGGTGTGATGTGTTACTTACTTATATTTTATGTTCCTACGCCCATTTAAGTATAAGTTTGTAACATGCTGAACACCGTCCTGGTTACTGTCAGGGTTATACTCACTCTCGCTCTCTGCACCTCTGGAATATGTCATAGTAAAATAGAAGGCTCGGTGTGCGCCACCTGGTGGACGAGACCAGAAGACGACAGTGTAGTTGGATCCTGTGAGGTACCTCACAATAATCTGTTGGTCATGTTACCGTAAAATTGACTGGCTTTGAAGTCAGTGTCGCTTTTCTGTATCTTCAAAGGACAGGTATCAACCTAGCAATTGGTCAGGTCCCTACCCACCCCCACCCCACACCCCCACCCCCCAATAAAATAGCTTGTTGCATATGCCTTCAATTTCGTTGTTACATATTCCAGAGTTACAGAGAGCAACAGTGGGTGTAAACCGCTGGAGTAGAGAGGATGGCTGAACAATTGTAAACCTGTTTGATGGTGTTGTATCAACTATCAAAAAGAGGCCCAATGAGCCTGAATTCCTTACCTGGTATTGCTAAACAAGAGGCCCAATGAGCCTGAATCGCTTACCTGGTATTGCTAAACAAGAGGCCCAATGAGTATGAATCCCTTACCCGGTAATAATCTCAAGTTGATCAAGTTTATTTTTCATGGACAGTAATAACCAGTAGTTAATAATTGTTCATACTTGTGTAGTGTAAAGATATTCCGTGTGAGTTACATCCTCAAGGTTCTAAATAGGAAACTGATGACATGCAGCATTTATTACAATGACATGATACTTTGTAGTTGTGTGTAAATGGTTACATAGTATGGAAATGAAGTTCCCCAAAATGCTTGTATGATACTGTAAATGTGAAAGATTTTGCGTGTGGAAATGTTCAAGTTTTTCGCAATATATTGTGAAAACAGTAACAGGTGAATGTATGTTTATAGATTATACTGATTATAGATAAATAGAACATACAGATTTTTTCCAGTGATATAATCAACTCATTCATCCCTGAAATTTCATAATGAACTATTCCAACCTTTGAATTGGAAGAGATTAAATGTGTCTTCAAGGATGAATGAGCTAAAGGGTGAACCTAACTTTTGCAGTATTTTAGTAATGATAATAATAATAATAAACTTCTTCAAGACAAAGGCAAATCTACCACCTGTCAGCTCCTCTTTGCTTAATATACGGTAATAACAAAATGTCAGTAATTCTAAGACACTGTGCATCTCTAATGTAAATTAGTTTTATTTAAAATTTTATCATGTATTAACAAAAATCTTCAAATGTGTTTGAAGGATATTTTCAAAGACATCAGATTCTGATAATCATCTCACAAAACAATGTATAGTTGTGTGCTGTTATTTTGCCAGGCAGTAGGATATGTTTCAAAGTTTTCACAAGCAATTTCCATTATAAAGTGGACTGAAACAGGAAAAGAGTGATCCTGCTAAGTGGAAGGAAATTCGTTCAGATACTTACGTGGTCTTGAAACATGTCACCTTGCTGTATTATAGGAACAAAATAAACTCAGTGTATCAACTCTGTGTGTAGCAGTTATGTCTCTTTGTTTGTAAAATAAACATTGGCAGGTTGTTTAGTAAACTTGTCTTCTTTTAGTTGTATTACCTGTTTTGCTTTAAATGCGAATCAAGAGGCCCAATGAACCTGAATCCCTTACCTGGTATTGCTAAACAAGAGGCAGAATGAGCCCGAATCCTTAACCTGGTATTGCTAATCAAGAGGCCCAATGAGCCTGAATTGCTTACCTGGTATTTCTAAACAAGAGGCCCAATGAGCCTGAATCCCTTCCTGGTATTTCTAAACAAGAGGCCCAATGAGCCTGAATCGCTTACCTGGTATTTCTAAACAAAAGGCCCAATGAGCCCAAATCCTTAACCTGCTATTGCTAAACAAGAGGCCGAATGAGCCTGAATCCTTAACCTGGTATTGCTAATCAAGAGGCCCAATGAGCCTGAATCGCTTACCTGGTATTTCTAAACAAGAGGCCCATTGAGCCTGAATCGCTTACCTGGTATTGCTAAACAAGAGGCCCATTGAGCCTGAATCCCTTACCTGGTATTGCTAAACAAGAGGCCCAATGAGCCTGAATCGCTTACCTGGTATATCTAAACAAGAGGCCTAATGAGCCTGAATCCTTAGCCTTTTATTGCTATTCAAGAGGCCCAATGAGCCTGAATCGCTTACCTGGTATTTCTAAACAAGAGGCCCAATGAGCCCGAATCCTTAACCTGCTATTGCTAATCAAGAGGCCCAATGAGCCTGAATCGCTTACCTGGTATTTCTAAACAAGAGGCCCAATGAGCCTGAATCGCTTACCTAGTATTGCTAAACAAGAGGCCCAATGAGCCTGAATAGCTTACCTGGTATTGCTAAACAAGAGGCCCAATGAGCCTGAATCCCTTACCTGGTATTGCTAGTATGTCTTTCATAGGGAAATGTCACATAGTATGTCTTTAATAGGGAACAAAGTCACATAAAATGTCTTTCATAGGGAAAGTCACATAATATGTCATTCGTAGGGAAAAGTCACAAACATGTAATATGTCTTTTGTAGGGAAAAGTCACATGATATATCTTCATGGTCACATGTGTCTTACACAGGGACAAGACACGTTATGTATGGTACAAAGATACTCATTAGGTGTTGGACAACAGGACAACACACAGTATGTATGATACATAAGTACAATACGCATGCTTATTTCATAAGGAAAGGTCACATACTATGTTGTTCATCATGAAAAGTAAAGTGTCTTACATAGAAAGACACATGATGTGTGGTATTTATATAGGAACAAGACACATGATGTGCGGTATATAGGGACAAGACACATGATGTGTGGTATATAGTGACAAGGCACATGATGTGTGGTATATAGGGACAAGACACATGGTGTGTGGTATATAGGGACAAGGCACATGATGTGTGGTATAAAGTGACAAGACACATGATGTGTGGTATATAGGGAAAAGGCATATGATGTGTGGTATATAGGGACAAGGCACATGATGTGTGGTATATAGGGCCAAGGCACAGGATGTGTGGTATATAAGGACAAGGCACATGATGTGTGGTATATAGGGACAAGACACATGATGTGTGGTATATAGGGACAAGGCACATG